ACTTTTTAGAGTTTTTTAATCTTTTATCAGTTATTGATGTAAGAAAATGGTTGGATATCAGCTAAAATGGTTACTTTTATTTTTATTGGCTTGAACTTTTTATTAAGTGCTGTATTATATTTACAGTTAAATATTAAGTTTATTTTTTAGTTTTATAAGTATAACTTATTACTATTAGTTAATACTATGAATTAGTCTATTATTCTTTAATGTTCTATGAAGCAAAATAGTTTTCTATTAGGCAATTATGTTAATTATATTTAAAATATGAGGTAGTATAACCGATTTCTATTTTTTACATAAATAAGCTTTTTTTTTAATAATTTTTTTGTATAAAATGGAACCAACTCTCTGCATTAGGAAATATGAGGTCTGCATTACTTTGCCTACCACATACATTTTAATGTTAGCTATGCCCTAATGCTGAACCAAGTCTGTTGGCTAGATGCAATTGATTATGTTATAGTAAATGTTCGTTTTCAGTGTATATATCCTGAGTTATTGTTTCAGTAGTATTTATGGTTGTAAATTATATATATGGATTGTTTTGCGCTAAGTTTAATGATTGTTTTGCAATAAATAAGAACTGAATTGCCCTTAGGACATTTGAAATGTCAGAAGGGCAATCACTATTTTAAATAATAAATTTATTTTATATTTATATGTATATATATATATATATATATATATATATATATATATATATATATATATATATATATATATATATATGTATTTTTTTTACAAGATTATTTTGCGCTAAGTGTAAGGATTCTTTTGCGATAAATAAATACTGCCTTTGGGATTATTATAAATGTGGGTTTTTATTTTGATTGGGACTGTGAGTCAGTTTCTTTTCTAGCCTGTTTTTAAGACAATGAAGATTCTTTTACAATTATATGGACTGTTTGTTGATTGATATGAGGAACGTATTGTATTATTTAAGTATAAAATTTAAGGGTTATGCCCATGCGCCATGTTTTAGTTTATAATAGGGCTGCTTAAAGCTTTTTAACTTTATGATTGAGGAAAGAACTATAAATAATTTTTTTTTGTTTTTAAATTCTAGAAATTGTTCATCTTATAGAAATTATTGATTTTAAAAAATGGTCTGATATCTGCTAAAAACTTTTTTAATTTTTTTTTGTTTTGTTGAACTTTTTATTTAGTGTTGTATTAAATTCATATTTGATTATTTTTATTTATTTTTGGTATATATATAAATTATATATATTAAGTTAAATAATAACTTTATTTTATATAATATATATATATATATATATATATATTTTCAGGACTATTTTGTGCTAAGTGTAAGGTTTTTTTTGCGATAAATATTTACTGTATTGCCCTTGGGAATATTTTAAATGTTTAAAATTGGGTTTTTATTCTGATTAGGACTATGAGTCAATTTTTTTTTGGGAATCTTTTTTATGACAATGAAGATTCTTTTACAATTATAGGGACTGTTTGTTGATTGATATGAGGAATGTATTGTATTATATAAGTATAAAATTTAAGGGTTATGCCCATGCGCCATGTTTTAGTTTAGAATAGGGCTGCTTAAAACTTTTTAACTTTATGATTGAGGAAATAACTATAATTTTTTTTTGTTTTTAGTTTCTAGAATTTGTTCATCTTATAGAAATTATTGATTTTAAAAAATGGTTCGATATCTGCTAATAATTTTTACTTTATTTTTTATTGGGTTTAACATTTTATTTAGTGCTGTATTAAAATTATAGTCGAATATTTATATTTATTTTTGGTATATATATAAATTTTATATAAAAATGGTCTGATATCTGCTAAAAACTTTTTTAATTTTTTTTTATTTTGTTAAACTTTTTATTTAGTGTTGTATTAAATTTATATTTGATTATTTTATTTAATTTTGGTATATATATAAATTATATATATTAAGTTAAATAATAACTTTATTCTATATAATATATATATATATTTTTTCTGGACTATTTTGTGCCAAGTGTAAGGTTTTTTTTGCGATAAATATTTACTGTATTGCCTTTGGGAATATTTTAAATGTTTAAAATTGGGTTTTTATTCTGATTTGGACTATGAGTCAATTTTTTTTGTGGGAGTCACTTTTAAGACAATGAAGATTCTTTTACACTTATAGTGACTGTTTGTTGATTGATATGAGGAATGTATTGTATTATATAAGTATAAAATTTAAGGCTAATGCCCAAGAGCCATGTTTTTGTTTAGAAAAGGGCTGCTTAACACTTTTAAATTTTATACTTGAGGAAAAAACTGTAAATAATTTTTTTTGTTTTTAATTTCTGGAATTCGTTTATCTTATAGAACTTATTGATTTTAAAAAATGGTTCGATATCTGCTAATAATTTTTACTTTATTTTTTATTGGGTTTAACTTTTTATTTAGTGCTGTATTAAAATTATAGTTGAATATTTATATTTATTTTTGGTATATATATAAATTTTATATATAAGTTTAAATAATAAATTCATTTTATATATATATAATTTTTTTTTTTTAAGATTATTTTGCGCTAAGTTAAGGATTCTTTTGCGATAAATAAATACTTAACTGACCTTATTTTTTTAAATGTGGGATTTTCTTCTAATTGAGACTTTGAGTTAATTTTTATTGCTGGACCTTTTTTAAGACAATGAAGATTCATTTACAATTATAGGGACTGTTTGTTGATTGATATGAGGAATGTATTGCATTATATAAGTATGTCTAAGTGCCATGTTTAGTTTTAAAAAAGAGCTGCTTAAATCTTTTGAACTTTATAATTGAGAAAGCACCTGTTAATAGTTTTTTTTTCTTTTTAATTTTCTTTTTTATTTTCTTTAATTTTTATTGGCTTGAACTTTTTATTAGGTGCTGTATTATATTTATAGTTAAATATAAAATTTATTTTTTAGTTTTATAATTATAACTTATTACTATTAGTTAATACTATAAATTAGTCTATTATTGTTTAATGTTCTATGAAGCAAAATAGCTTACTATTAGGCAATTATATTCATTATATTTAAATTATGAGGTAATATAACCGCTTTCTATTTTTTAAATAAATAAGCTTTTTTTTAATAATTTTTTTGTATAAAATGAAACCAACCCTCTGTATTAGGAAATATGAGGTCTGCATTAATTTGCCTACCACATAAATTTTTAAATTAGCTATGCCCTAATGCTGAACCAAGTCTGTTGGCTAGATGCAACTGATTATGTCATAGTAAATGATTGTTTTCAGTGTATATATCCTGATTTATTGTTTCAGTAGTATTTTTGCTTGTAAATTATATATATGGATTGTTTAGCTTTAAGTCTAAAGATTGTTTTATAATAAATGATAACTGAATTGCCCCTAGGACATTTTGGAATTTTTGAAATTAGGTTTTCCTTTTGATTGGGACTGTGAGTCAGTATTTTTTTGAGACTTATTTAGGACAATATTTATTCTTTTACATTTATAGGGACTGATTGTTGATTGATTAGAGGAATGTATTGTATTATATAAGTATAAAATTTAAGGCTATTGCTTAAGCACCATGTTTTAGTTTAGAAAATGGCTGCTTAAAACTTTTAAACTTTATGATCGAGGAAAGAACTGTAAATAATTTTTTTTTTTTTCAATTTCTAGAATTTGTTCATCTTATAGAAATTATTAATTTTAATTGTTTCGATATCTGCTAAAAACTTTTACTTTATTTTTTATTGGGTTGAACTTTTTATTTAGTGCTGTAATAAATTCATAGTTGATTATTTTTATTTGTTTTTGGTATATATATAAATTCGATATATAAAGTTAAATAATTAATTTTATATATATATATATATATATATATATATATATATATATATATATATATATATATATATATATATATATATATATATATATATATATATATATATATATATATATATATATATATATATATATATATAAATATATATATATTATATATATATATATATATATATATATATATATATATATATGTATATATATATGTATATATATTTATATATATATATATATACATATATATATATATATAAATGTATATATATATTTATATATATATATATATATATATATATATATATATATATATATATATATGTTTATATATATATATATATATATATATATGTTTATATATATATATATATATATATATATATATATATATATATATATATATATATATATATATATATATATATATATATATATATATATATATATATATATATATATATATATATATATATGTATATATATATGTATATATATTTATATATATATATATATACATATATATATATATTAAATGTATATATATATTTATATATATATATATATATATATATATATATATATATATATATATATATATATATATATATATATATATATATATATATGTTTATATATATATATATATATATATATATGTTTATATATATATATATATATATATATATATATATATATATATATATATATAATATATATATATATATATATATATATATATATATATATATATATATATATATATATATATATATATATATGATGATCTTCCTATTTAGGATTTATTCACTTAGTTCCATCCCGACTTTAGTTTCCATCCCGACCTTCGTCATAACTAACGTCATAATAAAATAACGACATAACTAATGTTATAATCCGATAATATTTTTTTTTAAAATAAAAAAAGATTAAATTTTTTTTGTTTAAAGTTAATCTAGCGTTATAAAAAAATATATATAAAAAGCAAATGCTTTTTAATTATATTCGTTATAAAAAATATAAAAAAAAGTTTTTTGTCAAATTATATAATTGTTTTTTATAATATAAAAAAATGGTTAAAGTTAAAAAAATTGATTAAAATAAAAAAAATAAAGTTAAGCGAAAACTGTTTGAAAAACCTGTAGCTGTAAGTTTATTGTTTTCTTTTTTTTATAAAAATTGTTTTGTATTTTTTTAAAAGTGTTTGTGATTTTTTTATAGATTGTTAAACCTTATGTGCCAGAAAACGTATATAAAGTGCTTCAAATTTATGTCCCTCAAGTGGTTGAAACGAGACCACTTGAGGAAACAGATGAACATTTGTATGAAAATGAGCTGGAAATCTACGACGATATTCCAGAAATAGACGACGGTAAATTAATATTTATTATAAACATGATTTTTTTTTAAAAAACAAAAAATATAATAGTTAAAAAAATTATTTTTTTAGAACAAGTACGTATACTTGACAGAATTGTTAGAAGAATAGATGATCATTTACAGAATGAATTTGGTACGCCGAGGAGAACAAATGGTTTAGCAAGTAATGTTAGACGTATAGTATGTTTTGGTTGTTGTTTGTGTGATGAACAAAGCGAGCACGATCATTGTTGTGTAACAACCGTGTGCCCGTACGTGCAAGAACTATTTGAACGGTGCCGCGGTTGTTGCTATTGTATTTAAAAAAAATATGTAAATTGTATATATGTAAAATAAAAAATTCATTTATCAAAATGTCTTTTGATGCGACGGACGATTGTTTGTTATATTTATATCAACTTAATTTAGATTTAAAAAAACATTTACAGGAAACGCATTTAAATCAAGGTGTTTGGATGGATAAAGTTCTTTTAGCTGAAGAAAGCGAATTGGGTAGTTGTAAAAGAGTATACGGTTTTTATATTAAAGATTTAAAATTGATAAAGACATATCAAATAGAGTTGATAGAAGTTCTTGATTTGCTATTTAAATGTCTTCCGCATCGCGTATTTTATCCTGACACGTGTTTTCATAATTATAGTGAAGTTATTGAACATTGTCTTGATGTGTTAAAAATATTTTATTATTATTTTACGTGTATAGATAAATTGTATAAAAAAATAAACTATGTAAATAGTTTAAAAACAATAGTTCAACAATTGTGTTATTATTGTAAAGGATTAGTTGGAGGATTATATTTGCAAAAAGATGTATTGGAATGTTATCATATTACAAAAAAGGAAAGAGACAATATATTAAATGAAAAAATTTATTAATGTAAAATTTTGTTTTTATTCTCATAATAAACTTTTAACAAAGTTTTCAAAACTGTTATTGATATTTTCAAAGAGTTCTTTATTTGTAAAATTGTTCGTACGTTTTTGAATTTCTTCGTCTATAATAACACCAATACGATAAAGTTCTGCCAACACTCTACAACTATCGGATCCGTATCGGTCTTCTGCTATGTTTATTAGTATTCTTGCTTCTTGAGGGTTGTAACTAACAAATCTGATTTGATCATTTTTAGCAAGTTTCATTTTTTTTGTTATGAATCTAAAAAAAATAAAAAAAAATTTATTTTGATAATATTTGTTTTACAAAATTATAAAAGTCTCGTTTAATTTCTTCTGTTTTTTCAATGTTTTTTAAATAGTTTGTTTGTTTTAAAACTTCTTCATGTACCAATAATAATATATTGCCAAACGCTTTCAATGTTGATTGATCATTAATCTTTTCATGTTCAACATTTAAAAATTTTGTCATTATATCGGATTCTTTTCTGTTAAAAAATAAAAAGTCTTGATCGTCTCCAGTAATTAGTTTCATTTTTTTATTCTAAAATAAAAAAGTTAAATAAAATCATACATGTCATTTCTATTAGGTTTAAAATAAAGATTAATGACATATTCATGTTGTTTAAATAACCAATCTATACATTCCATATAAATATTAAAAAAAGATTTTATGACTAATTTATGTTGTTTAGTAGCAGAAAAACAATTTATAAAATAAGTATTTACAAAAAGTTTATATATATTATCAACAATCGATATTTGAATATGTAAATAATGTGATCTAATTAATATACGTCTGTCAATTAATTCAAAACAATCGTCTTCGTGTGATTTGTAAACAGAATATTGTGATAAAATTTTTTGATTATTTTGAAAAAACGAATACATCAAATTGTTAATTTGTTTACGTAAATTTGGTATGACTATTCGTTGTAGTTTTTCAGAAGCTAACTTTTTTTTACACAAATCTTTCAAAGTCCATGTATCATTACGGTTTTTATATCTTAATTCTTCATTACACCTAATCCAAAACTCTTTTAATTTGTCTTCTTTTATTGAAATTTCTCTAAATCATGGTGTATTCTAGCATGTCTAAGTAAATTTTTTCTTAACATTCTAAATAAAATCATATTTATAAATATAACAAGGTTTAAAATGAGGATCATTAACAAATTTACATTGTTCAATTAACCAATCTATACATTGCATATAAATATTAAAAAGAGATGACATAATTAATTCGTCTTGTTTAGTTTTATAACGAAACATAAAATAAGTTTGTTTAAAAAATTGATATACATAACGAATCATTAATTTCTGAACAAATAAATAATGTTTTTTATAAATATCTTTCGCATTGTTAATATTGTTAATAATGGTATCAAAACAATGATCAATAAATATTTGATGATAGAATAATAATTTTTCGTTTCCATCTAAAAACGTATGCAATAAATCGTTAATTTGTTTTTGTAAATTTGGTATAACAGTGTTCAAAAGTTTTTCGTAAGCTAATTTTCTTTTACATAAATCTTGTAAGGACCATGTTTCAACATTTGTAACACGATTGAAAACAAGATCATAGTTGTAATTCCATTCTATCAACTTGTTTTCCTTCATCGAATTAAATTCGTGTAATTCATTAAGTATGTTATTAAATTGATCTTTTTTCATTGCTAAAAAAAATATACAAATTAAAAAAGGTCATATAAAATTTTAAAAAAAATTATTTTTTATTATAATAGTTCAAAAGTTCTTTTTGTTTTAAACTAATTACTTCAGGCGGATAATACGACGGAGTATTACATTTTGCGTTTATTGCCCAAAATGGATCTGCCGCTTTAAAGTTTGGATAACTGTCTCGATTTTCCAGTTCTGCATACGGTGGAGGATTTACACTTTCTTCGTATGATGGTGGTTTTTCAAATTTAACTATAAACTTTTTATATATATCCTTTCTACCGATTTCATTTAACAAATTTAAAATAAGTTTGATTTTAGCCTCGTTAGTAGTGTATTCATAGTGTTGATATACGAAATCTTTGAACTCTATATATTCCATTAAATCTAGTCCATCTTTAATTTTCTCTCTTATTCCGTACGGAATTTCTAAAAACATTTTTAATTTTCTTACATCAGACGTAGTGATGTAGTCAGCTAAATCTCTCATGATTGCACTGTTCATTTTTTTAATATTTAAAAAAAAAATTATAACATTATATAAAAAAATATATAATATAAAAAATACATTATATAAAAGAAACGTGTATAATAAGTTTATTAATTATATGATTAATTAAATACAAAAAAATACATAACAAATTATATAAAAGAAACGTGTATAACAAGTTTATTGTTTTTTATATAATGTCTTTTTAATTGATCATGTGTTGCAAAACTATCTGTTCCAATAGCTCGGTTATAAGCTTGAGCAGGTTTTTCAAAACATTCTTTTAACGGTTCGCTATAATTGGCTATTATTTTTGTGTTTTCAATACATTCGTTTTTAACTGTACATGTTACAGTTTTCATGAACGGCCATTTTAAAGAATGATCTTTTGGAGACTGTATTAATTAAAAATAAATACCCATTTTATCTTCTTGATTACTGTAACCAAAAATTTTAAATCGATAGAAATAACCATCTACAGTATAAGAAGGTTGAGTATGATAAGATTCGTTAGATTGCAATCTTAAATCCATTTGGTCCAATTCTATAATTAAGTTATCAGACATAAATTTGTCGTTGATATCTTTATTATAATTTAATATATTATCATATAGTTTCAATTCTTTTTCAAATGTGTTTTTATTTACAAATTCTTTCATTTCCAAGCTGATGTTGTTCAATACTTTTTCAAATGTGTTTTTATTTACAAATTCTTTCATTTCCAAGCCCATGTTGTCCATCCGTTTAGTTAATGCGTTTATTTGTTTGTTGACAGCTTCTAAACTGTTTAGAATGTTATTAGTAGTCATGTTTAAAAAAGTTAAACTTTGTTTTTGATCCATAATAATATTTTTTTGTTTCTCCATTATTTCTTTCCATTCACTTTCAAAACGATGTAAACAATTGATAACGTGTTGATCATAGTAGTTTTTTTAAATTTGATTTCCACAAAATGCACATAATTTAGTTCGATTTCTTTCTACGTGTTCCTCGTGATAAATTTCACATTCATGTTCCCAAGTATCTGTCAATTTAATTTTTTTTCCACAGCTATAACAATCATAATCTTGTGATGTGTTACATTTTAGTTGATGATTAAGTAATTGATCAATAGTATAGGGTAACTTGCAATAATAACATAATTCTTTTTCCATAGCTTCAGCCATTTTTTTTGTATAATTAGTTGCTAAAAAAAGTATTAATAGTATTAAAAAATGTTATGGCTAATATTATGTAATATTACGGGTAAAATTATAGACAAATAGAGTCAACATATTATAAAAAAACAATATGAAAAATAAACTATTTATTATTAAAAGCAAAAAATACAAGTTATCATAAATTTATAAAAAAAAAATTTTTAATGTATATAATCGATTGCAATCATTGATTGCAATCGATTATTTATGCAGATTATTAAGAACTAACAATTCATTGTTAGTTCTTAATAATCTAGCATCGTTTAAAAAGCTTCTAATCTTTTTATTGATCATGACTTCATTTTTAAAAATGTCATTTTCTATAGGAATTTTCATTGTTTTCATTGTTACATTATTGCGTACCAGACTCTCAGTTTTTCTTAAATAGAGATGTAGTTTCATGTCTTTTTCAAAAAGTTGTTTAGCAGTAGCATCCAAGTGTTTAAATAATTTAGTTCTAACAAAGTGAAAAAATGGAAGCAAATTTATTTGAGCTAGTTCGGAAGCATGAAGAGACGAAACTTCATAGAAGTGATAGTTCAGTAATCTGCACAACAAAGGTAAATAAATTTGACCGTTAATAAGATAGTTTGGTAGCAAGGATATAAAATAGGCGGCAAAAGCTCCGCACAAACTACTGTTTTCCCATTGGAAACAAGTTTTGTTATAAGAAAACAAAATAGTTTGTTGACCCGTCATTGAACTATATTTTAATATAAATTTTGTAAACCAATAAAATTCATGATTATCAGCTGTCCATTCGTAAGGAAAGTGATTAGTTTGTCGTATGTAAGAACTTATTTCAATTTCATTATAATTAATGTTTAGATTGTTTATTTGTATGTTAGTTTGTATTTCTTCTACAGATTCAAACAAATGTCTATTGCTTCTTAAAAAAAGTGGAATTTGTTTTAAACAGCTTTCAGTACCTAAACTGTCAAAACAAAAAAAATGATACGCGTCTAATTTGAGTAAAAGTCTCCAATGTTCTCCATTTTCTTTGCTAGTTTCGTTATTATAAATAAAAAAAGAACCCATTTCCCTCTCCCTCCCCCTGGGGGGTGGGGGTTCCCCCTTCCCTCTTCCCCC